GGTGACGAATGTGACCGAGTCTTCGAATCCCGATCTCTTCTTTGGACTGAAGGTGTGTCATGTCCCTCGACGCCACGAAGCGATGGTCACTGACTTTGCATTCAGGGTGGCTACAACAACTTCGTGAGTTCTGCATACGCCATGACCCGGGGATACGATCCGATGTGTTCTTGCACAGGGCATAGTCACGACATTCACCTTCCAGACATATCCTCAAGGTCAGGTCTGGGTATGTCGGCCTGTCGTACAAACTATACAACATGTCAAAAGTGTCACATCTGCAGGGCGGTCAGATCACATATCCATCATCGAGCGTCAATAATGTTAGCGCTGCCACGGCAACCTTTTCGTCGAATGTCACCGACCCGAAGGCGGCTATCATCACCACCTACGACTATACCGGTGGGCTGGTGCGTGGATATACTATCTACTGTTCGTCTCATGGAGTCAACGGAATATGCGATAATATCAGATTCTTGCGTCTGTCATAATCTTCTACGATGCTCCTAATCCTCCGTCGGGGATTTTTGACGACTTCCTGTCAATACCGGCATTGGCGACCAACGTCAAGACACGGTCTTTCCTATCCTTGGTACAAGTCGAGCCGACGCAGGAAACAGCCAACTTCCGGTAATGCACCACGTCATGGGTTATCGTTGCAATGGACTCACATGTGCCTTGCAGCGGATATTACAATACAGTGCCTTTGACGGAGATCACCGAGGGCATTCTGAACGACGTGCTCACGGAAGCTCAGGTCTGTTCATCTTCAGTCTAACGTTGATGCGTCCTGATAAGATGCCTCCGACAGTATTGGGGCGAACAGCTGCAACTCGACTCGGACCAGATCATCAGTTACGACGTCGAGCCGTTCCTTCCGACTATTCTCACGCACGGAGGCCCGTCGGCATACCCGTGGACACGCACTGAGCGCTACCTGCCGTTGAACATATATTTCAGCTGGTCGGACGAGACTTATGACAGCGACTACTATACTGCGATCACGCAGACTGCGACAAATCTGACGTCTGCTGCGGTGGCGGAGGGACAAACGAACATCTCAGGCGCGCCGCACTACCCGAATTATTCGCTGTACGGGACACCGATCTCGGAAATCTAGGGCACCGCGCTGCCGACGCTCGTGGAGCTGAAGCGGACATACGATCCAAATAATGTGATGGGTCTTGCAGCTGAATGGAAGGTGCCAGCGTGACCAATTGATGTATGGGCTTATATTTGAGTCTGTATAGGCTCATGATTGCTATCCTGGATTAGAGGAAATCATTTCCACGGTCATCGCAGCACAGCATTAAAGTTGACAGTGTAGCCGCAGGAGAACGGCGCATCATAGAATGAAATTCCTCGAAATGTTGAGCTACGACGAGGATATAGAAGACTCTCAAAGAGCTTCAACACGGCCCAGAATTGATACCTGGCCGTTCAGCGGCCCAGCTGTGACGCCTTGATTCCGTGTATGGTAGGTACGCACTTTCTCGACACTCCCACAACTCAACAAATATCACTAATTCTTTTCAAAAGATGCTCGACCAATGTAAATGCAGTTCCTATGACGACCTTGCACCATGTACGCGGATGCGCGTTCTACAACCCGTCTCAGCGCTCGGCAGAGGCTGCTAGCTTTTTGGTCTGTAGTCATCCTGGTCGGGCTATGTGGCCTCTGGTCAATCGTGCTGCCGCGCTGATAAAAGTGAAGCTTAACGATAAAAACAGGCCACTGCCCATGCGTGCGTGCCCTATGGCTATTGGGCCTTCGAAACGAAATCAGCAGCGAACGCTGCATTGATATGATTAGATAGAGAATTTTCACAAAACATAACATTGATAGCAATCACAAAGCATGATCAGATCGTCTTTTCTCTGGCCGTCGGTCCGCCCGACGGCCAGGAGGTCAGAGTCAGAATGTCGTCGGGGCATGATCCTAGTCATCATGACTATTTCTAAGGCAAAAGAGTCCCCTAATGTTGACCGCCAGTGCGGAGACCTGATGCTGACCTTGGTTCACCGAACCTGTTGGATGACGGTCTTATAAACACATCAACAAGGAATAAAGGGACATGCACAACTGCGCACCTTTTGTCGAGGGGAGCGGAGATCTCGTGCCACCCTTCTTTACTCGTACCAGTCGTCAGAATGACTGCGCCTCCAGTAAGGCAGTCTTGCTCTGAGCCTCTGATGAGGCCTCGAGCGGCGTATCAACTGAGCGCCCCACCTCTGTCTCTTGAATGTCCGAGAGATGGTTGATGGTAACTCTGTCGGAGTTCGGGTTGGTAGGCTCCGTAGAAGGGCCATCGGGCAAATCTTGAGCCAACGGCAATATGCCGTCCGGTGTTGCCGCCCGGGGGTCACCCAGCGTACCATCGCGTGCTTTCCGGATGAGCCTAGCCAAAAACGTAATCAGCGCATGAGAAGGTGCAAAGGTCCAAGTAAAACGAACTCAGCCATTGCCTCTGCTTCCTCAATAAACCCACGGGGATCAGCGCATTCTCCTCCTTCGGCCAAATCGAACGAGTAGCTGACAAGGGGCACGACATCGATATCATCAACTTTAGCACGGAATGGACCAAGGACGGCCTCAACGATGGCATCAGTGTCGGCATCGCTGTCAGGATTAAGCACGAGAAATTCAGCGTCGGAATCGCTGTCGACACTGTCGGGGTACTCTGTGTCAGTGTCGCTATTGAGCGTAGGTATACGATCATCTTCTGTAGTGATTGCGGCGTCAAAGTGCTCAGAGACAGCATCCTCGTGCGGACATAGCGCGCCATCTTGATCCTCGCTGCAGTCGACCGCCTGAAGCCAGTCTTGCACATTCACGGCGTCAATAGGAGGGACAGGTGAGTCAGGGCTGGCTGCGACGTCAGACAATGTTGGGGTCTCCTCCGTTTCCACAGGCGGAGGCGGAGGGTCTAGAAATAGGGTGACGGTCAACTTCACATCGCAATATGAAGTCAAAATTTAAATTCACTCTGCTGTGCGCGGAATGCTTGGTGCTGCGCCCAATCCTCACTAAGGTATTGTTTATGTCTCGTCCTTTCCTCAAAAGACACTATTACAGCATCATCGTGATGTATGTCACGAGTAGGTATGCGGACGGTCGCCCAAACAAAAGAATGCTGATAGCAATTCGGGAATGGGAATGGCTTTGATGTTTGAAGGGGTTCACGACCCGCTGGATGTTCGCTACAGGGCTCGATGGGCGTGCACATACTCGATGTCTTGAATTCCTCTGGCTCATCTTTGGGCATGCCAACCCCCACGAACCGTATGAAACAACGGTGCCACGGATGACGACGAAGAGGAAAGTCATAGACCTATCGTCATGAATGAGTAAGCGGTTGGCCAACGACGCTAGGCACACACCGAATTTACAAACGCTATATACTTGCGGGGTGTCAATTTGCTTGCGACAGCTGTAAGACGCGGATCGTCGAGGGATTCGGCCATGCGTACGGGATCCAGCCATAGCGCGATATATGAGCCGTGACGTGGAATATAGCCGGTTTTAGCCTGCAGGTCTGACTGCATCGTTGCCTATCCTGAGTATAGCAGTGTGCAGTTCCTGTAACAACTTTGCACCATGTGCGCGGCTGCGTGTGCTACAGCCGTTTCCGAAACTAGGTGCGTATAAAGTTGCCGCTTAAATGTCGCTTCTTTCGAAGCGACAATCCGCTGCTTTTGAAGCACCCGGATGTGGCTGGGAAGGACGCAGAAACGGTTGCCTATGACTAAGCATGATGACCCTATGATCTGATCACGTTCTCGCCTCGCGAAGGGGGAAGCAGCCAATGAGGTCGGTGAATTATGCAGGCGTGACGACGTACTGCATTGGACGAGAGACAGTGTGCGAGGAATCGAAGTCAACAACGCTGTACATACACAATGGGTCTCGACGGGATTCTACTGGTTTACCCTTCGCATGGATTGAGAGAAACAACAGGGTATCGCGTGAGACATCATAACAAGTCGTGGTTGAAACCCGAGTTTGCCACGATCGATCTCGATACAGCATGAAAGGAATCCTGCAAACGAGTCGATTGCTCATCCGTGCTCTTGACGCGGCCATAGTTGATTCCCACGCCTCTATGTTCTCTTCTGCTGTTCAGCCTAGCCTTGTCTCTATATTCTCGTCCACGGGGAGCGAGCCTCTTAGTACTTTCTTGTCAAGCACAGACAAGTCATTACCATCAGATTCGTTCATATGCTTTTGCAACGACGCGACGTCTCTGCCACATCCACAACTACCGGCTATTCTGGTCTCACCTTCTACCAACGAGCAAGGCGCACCGGACTATGCTCTACAACAGACCGTTCTGCATATCCAATCCCCTACTCTTCGCACAACTTTCATCCGCTGCCCTCCATTTCGCGATGCCAACGGTCCTAGTGGACATCTCGGCATGAAGCATCCCTGGATCCACTTCCAAGTTCGCAACATGGGCCGTGAATTCTCCTTGGAGATCGGATTGGTTGACCAGTCTGGCAGAGAGGGTGTGGTTAGATGCTCTACATTCCAGGTACCGTACCTTTGTGTTCAAATCGTTCGAACAAGTATGGTGGCCTTGATGTCGCTTAATTTCTGCATAACGTTCCAATATCGGGCTCCATCAGCTCGAAATTCAGCCCATTAGCTGTGTTACCCCCGCAACGGCACAGGATGTCGGGTTGTTGGGTCTCACAGCAGCCCCACTACCCCAAAGTCGGAACGGTACTGGGATTTCTGGCCAGCCTATTCCGAGATTGCCAGGAATCCTGGTGTGAGATCATAACTATTTACTTTGCTTCACGTCGTACCTTGCTCAGTCGTACTGAGACAAGTGCTGAACAGAGAGAGCCATGCCTCCGCATGGGAAATCCTCCCCTTCTTCATTTACCCCTCTTACTACCGTCGTCCTCCTCCCGCCCTCTCACATCGTGGTGTACGATCAACCTGAACCTCCCCACATTGCTTCCACACTTCTTGTCCGCTTCTCTCTTGCGCCCCGACGGAGACGAGGACGCGGATTTACCGGACAGCGACGACGACGACGACGGTGACGTGCCCTTACCGACCGCGTCATCGGCCAGCCAGCGCGTTCTACAGACGGGGTTCAACCAGGTACCTGCAGGGACGTACTCGTACGTCTCGTACGTCAAGGTATACGCGACATGCCGATTGAGGCGAATATGGTTCAGCGAGGACGGGCCAAAACAGAGGCTGCCATGGGAGTTTCAGCTTTATGCAGCCGATTGACGGGCGCGGTATTCCTAATTACAGATGAGAAGGCATACATTTCGGTCGTTACATTAATGTGTTGGAGGTGGTACATCGGCGATGAAGTGCAGTGAAGCTATTTTATCTCGTATCTCGTAGCAAGCCGTCTAACGACGTAAAGTATAGCGACGCCAAGGGAATGTTTCCTTTGAGTAGAATGCCAAAGGCACTTCGCATCAGGGTGATCCCGGATCGGACGGACTCTGGCTTGGGTACGACCCGTACCCAAGCCAGAGTTCGTCCTTCAATGCCCTGACGTAGCCTGTAGTGAAGATGAAGATGATGCCCGGCGTATGCACGAAGTCATTGTCTCTAGGCACCTTGAAGCCGCCATCACCACAGAAGACGATCACACATTTACGCTCAATGGCGCCACTGACACAAAGTACCTTGACGATGTCGACAACAACGGCACGCTTTCCGTCTACGGATGAGAATGCGCTAACCCCTATGGCTTTATCGAGGAAACAGAAGCAATGACTGAGTTTGTTTTGCTAAGACCTGTTCACTTCCTCATGCGCTGATGGTGATTTCAGCTGGGCTCATCCGAAAAGCACGCAACAGAACAGCATGCTGGGAGATCATGGGGCGGCAGAACCTGACGATGCCGTTTATTCAATATTTGGTCGACGGCCCGGGTTCTGGCGCGTGGAATGAACGAAGAAGAGGCGGCACCAGGGCTTTGCTTTCCTCGTTGAAAGGTGCGCAGTTGCACGTTCCTGTGTGTCTTATCAATGTATGCTCAAGACCGACACTCAACGGGCCCGGTGAAGCGAGGTCAGCATCAGGTCTCCGCGCTGGCGGCCGACATCAGGAGGCTCCTTTAGCTTCGCGACGTTCGTGACGACTAAGATTATACCCCGGAGAGATTCTAGTTCCGGCCTCCTGGCCATTGGGTGGACAGACGGCCAGAGAAGATGATCTTCTCGCGCTTTGTGGCTGCTATCGATGTTAGTCGTGACATACCCGTAGCCTTGTTTCCAGAAGACCATTTTGTTCCGTTAATGCCATGCTGATTTCGTTTCGAAGGCCCAATGGCTGTTTTTGAATTTGTAGAGACTGCTGCGACGGCGTAATTTGTGACGCTGATCCTGCTACGACGGTTATTTGCGGACTGCACGCACCCATTGAGTAACGTACCCGCGACGGCGGTGATTGACTGGCGATCTAAATTGACGAGTGCGGAAAACTTTACCGTACGCTTGGCTAGAAGCTAGCCTATGTTTGAAAGTCACGTTTGCCTCAATGCACGGCGGCGGAGGATACTAATTCCAACGCTGCACTCGCGCGCAAGCTAAACCAGCAAGAGAGACCCTGGACCAAGCCAATGGAAATGGAACACGAAGATCTAATGCCAGCGCCTTCTCTGGTATCACACACGCTACCTGCAGCCTGGAATACGGGAACAATGCGACCTCTCAGCTGGCTGGAGACTTCTCGGCGATATTATGCACCATCTTCCTCGGCGCTCGTCAGAATTCGCTGGAAGATGCCTGCGGATACAGGTACCGTGGCCTCAGATGGTGAGTCAAGTAGGCCGAAAAGGGCAGTGCGCGATCCGGAATAGGCAATGGCTTCTTGCTTCGGTCCCTGCTTTTAAGAGAATGGAGACCACACCGATCAGATCACGCAATTCGCGAACACGACGGTCGTTCGTTCTTGTGTTGCAGAGCTTATGATTGGATAGAAGGCTCCCTATGAAGGGGTTCTGGTGCATCAGGGCTCGGCGGCCTTCTGAGACCTGCGTGCAACCTCAAAGCGTATGAGGGATCTAGCCTAGCATCCGTGTGCCTGCTCAATACTAACCGATAAGCTCCTGGTCGATCCTAAGGTGGGTCATCATGACCCCAAACGTCAGTGGAGGTAGAGCAGGATGTCTTCTTACTTGATTTTCAGGAGCCTATGAGCACCAGCATAGACTAGCATAGACTAATGAAATCGTCAGTGTACTGAATGCACACCCACAATATAGAATGATATGGCGTACCAGCTGATCGGCTCCCGGCATAGTCTGCACCGAGCAGGCTAATGAGGCACAATCATTCAGTGCTTTTTTGAGGACTTTAATTCTTATTGGTGGGGCCGAAATATAGGAGACTGGTCTTGGTCACGAGCAGTCAGCGCCAATGCCAGACCAGTATTTCCTGTTTATCGACAAGACAAAACGAAACGATTGAGGACTTCATTCTCCACCGTAAGTAACAAGAGCCTGGTGATGGTCGTGAGATTGAACACATCATGATGATGTGGAAGGACACAAGAGTCATCATAGCAGTTGGTACTGAGCAGATCGATCCAATTGGGACAATAGCGCGTACGATCCTATATATGGCGTAAGTATGTTTGTCCGCGTGGGTCCATTCATGCGCTGACTAAGTACGTCCGGCAATTGCCGTAAGATACACCACACGTCTCTTGAGCATCTCCCCCCACCGCTGCTCGTTCATCGCATGGCGCATTCCTTTCCGCGCTCTCCATGCTGCCGGACTTGCCGTCAGGTTTGCCGACAATTGAATTTGATCCAACATATGGCACATATCTCGCTCTTTGGCTAGTCAAGATGGCGGAATGCGTTGACGACCCTCGTGTGAGACCTTTGTCCAGGTGCCTGCGGCAGAGCACGCTTCTGCTCAGTGCTTGTCTGCGAGCGACTCAGCCATCACAGCAACAGCAACCGAACATCTTTCCAATATGCCGCCCGTGGTACTACTCGAGACAGAGAACAGACCGCTCGTGCCTGAGGCTGATCTATCGACACACAGAAAAGGATGCTGTCAATGCTTCATCTGGCTCACCAAAAGGTGCGTGGCCATGCACGACGTTTAACGCAATGCTGATGTATCTCCCTAAAGCTTGGTTCCCTGCGAATGTACGTCGTATCAGCGCCCGGATTACTGCGGTCTCAACAAGCATTCTCCGAGCGGTTCGTCTCCGCAAAGTGCATGATGACGAGCATTGATGCTATTCTCGTACGGGGTATGGCTTCATGGATGCCTACTCGGAATATATTGACTGGAGTAAAGCCTGAGCCTACAACGGATTGGCTCACAAAAGGGAACGTTCCTATTTGTTTTATGACTGCGAGTGATCAGCTATACTGTATTTTATTTCGCCTCGCAGCGCTACACTACGAGATACTGGATATGGCCATGATCTCGGCAACCTTCCCGTACTGGGTCACTCAAGTAACCTTGTTTGAAAGTTCATGGAATTGGATGAAATTTGAAGAATGCGCTGCCATGAACGTGAGCGCTGAGCTAACTGTCCTTAGAGCTATGGGCCCCAGATCCCCTGCATCATCCTATGCGAGCCCGACGGCCGGTGACCAAAGATCAGGCCCAGATATAGTAAGTACCGCATGATTTACATACGGAAACGTTATCCGAAGTGCTTCGGAGAGATGCCACAGCTTCCAACGTCGTGTCGTCGGAGCTGCTTGGGCGTGAGATACTCGCCCAGCCAATTCTACATGAGCCTAAGGGGCGGCGTGGACATCCCGCACCAATAAGTGGCCTGCGAACCTTCGCATAACTACATATCTTAAATCAATGGCATCTATTACACAATGCCGGAAACAATCTGCCTGCTTTCGCTGCACGCCGACTCCTTTTGGTCACTCGTATCTCTTGATGGCCTTGCAATCCTGCTATGATTGAGAATTAACTCCGCCGTCCCTGCGGTACTAATGAGCAGTAGCACCGCATGGCAGCATCGCCGACTCCGGGCTTCGCATCGTCTCCCACCTAACCAGATACCAGGACATGCGGCATTCCTAGTGCGCGCTCTCGTCATCGTCTACGACCACACGCTGAGCAGGCACACGGATGTCAGGCTAGATCTCTCATATGCTTCGAGATTGCATGCAGGTCTCAGAAGGCCGCCGAGCCCTGATGCACCAGAACCCCTTCATAGGGAGCCTTCTATCCAATCATAAGCTCTGCAACACAAGAACGAACGACCGTCGTGTTCGCGAATTGCGTGATCTGATCGGTGTGGTCTCCATTCTCTTAAAAGCAGGGACCGAAGCAAGAAGCCATTGCCTATTCCGGATCGCGCACTGCCCTTTTCGGCCTACTTGACTCACCATCTGAGGCCACGGTACCTGTATCCGCAGGCATCTTCCAGCGAATTCTGACGAGCGCCGAGGAAGATGGTGCATAATATCGCCGAGAAGTCTCCAGCCAGCTGAGAGGTCGCATTGTTCCCGTATTCCAGGCTGCAGGTAGCGTGTGTGGTACCAGAAGGCGTTGACAACAGATGCCTTGGGTGCCTTTGGAAGTTTGGTCCGACATGCGTGCGAGTGGAATGTTGGAATGAGTGCCCTCGGCCGCAGTGCATTGCAATTCTATCCCACTTACCCGGTAGCATATTCCCGCACTTGTAAATCCAGATTGCCAGTAGATCGCGGGTGCGTGGTGCGTCAAGACCGTAAGCAGCGGTCGGAGCCTTCGAAAAGAAACCAGCAACGAATGCTGCATTATTGATTAGATAGAAGGTGTTTTCAAAACAGCTACGAATATGTCACAACTAACATCGATAGCAGTCACAAAGCACGAGTAGATCATCTTTTCTGGCCGTCTGTCCGCCCAATGGCCACGACCTCAGACCCAGGATGTCGTCAGGGTATAATCCTAGTCGTCATGAACGCTTCGAAGACAAAGGAGTCTCTTGATGTCAACTGCCAGCGCGGAGACCTGACGCTGACTCCGCTTCACCAGGCCTGTTGGGTGACAGTCGTAAGGACATATGAATGGGGTACAAAGGGACATGCGCGACTGCGTACCTTTTGTCGAGGAAAGCGGTGATCCCTTCATTCGTACCAGTCGCCAGAATGACCGCGCCTCCGGTAAGGTGGTGTCGCCCTTAGTCTCCGGCGAGGACTCCGGCGGCGTATCAACTGAACGTTCTATCGCCGTCTCCATAGTGTCCGAAGGATGCTCAGTGATAGCATTGCCGGAGTCTGCATTGGTGGGAGCCTCATCGCGTACCAGATCAGGCTCCGGAGTAGTGCCCTCGGCCACATCTTGAGCCAATGGCACCAAACTGTCAGGTGTTGCCGCCCGAGGGTCACCCAGCGTACCATCGCGTGCTTTCCGGATGAGCCTAGCCAAAATCGCGATTAGCGCGTGAGGTGAAATGGTCGAAGTAAAACGAACTCAGCCATTGCCTCTGCTTCCTCAATAAACCCACGGGGATCAGCGCATTCTCCTCCTTCGGCCAAATCAAACGAGTAGCTGACAAGGGGCACAACATCGATATCATCAACTTTAGCGCGGAATGGACCAAGGACGGCCTCAACGATGGCCTCAGTGTCGGTATTGTTGTCAGCAGTAAGCACGAGAAATTCAGCGTCGGAATCGCTGTCGACACTGTCGGGGTACTCTGTGTCAGTGTCGCTATTGAGCGTAGGTATACGGTCATCTTCTGCAGTGATTGCGGCGTCAAAGTGCTCAGAGACAGCATCCTCGTGCGGACATGGTGCGCCATCTTGATCCTCGCTGCAGTCGACCGCCTGAAGCCAGTCTCGCACATTCACAGCGTCATTCGGAGGGACAGATGAGTCAGGGTTCGCTACGATCTCTGAGAATGTTGGGGTCTCCTCCGGTTCCACAGGCGGAGGCGGAGGGTCTAGAAATAGGATGACGGTCAACTTCACATCGCAATATGAAGTCAAAATTTATATTCACTCTGTTGTGCGCGTAATGCTTGGTGCTGCGCCCAATCCTCACTAAGGTATTGTTCATGCCTGACTCTTTCCTCAAAAGACACTATTACAGCATCATCGTGATGTATGTCACGAGTAGGTATGCGGACGGTCGCCCAAACGAAAGAATGCTGATAGCAATTCGGGAATGGGAATGGCTTTGATGTTTGAAGGGGTTCACGACCCGCTGGATGTTCGCTACAGGGCTCGATGGGCGTGCACATACTCGATGTCTTGAATTCCTCTGGCTCATCTTTGGGCATGCCAACCCCCACGAACCGTATGAAACAACGGTGCCACGGATGACGACGAAGAGGAAAGTCATAGACCTATCGTCATGAATGAGTAAGCGGTTGGCCAACGACGCTAGGCACACACCGAATCCACAAACGCTATATACTTGCGGGGTGTCAATTTGCTTGCGACAGCTGTAAGACGCGGATCGTCGAGGGATTCGGCCATGCGTACGGGATCCAGCCATAGCGCGATATATGAGCCGTGACGTGGAATATAGCCGGTTTTAGCCTGCAGGTCTGACTGCATCGTTTCTTGTCCTGAGTTAAGCACAGGCTGGGGGTGAGAGACGGGCGGGACAGGTTTACAGGAAAGTGACTGGCATAGGTGTGGTACTCCACTGCGCCGAAGGACAACTTGGAAATGGGCACGGAACCAAACATTGGAGGCGCTGTCATCACCTGATCACCAATCTCGGCATCGCTGTCGGCTGCTGCCCAGCGCTGCAAAATCCCAACGGAACTATCCGTTGTCACATTATTCGAAGCCAGAATCACATATGCCTTTCGCATTCGAGTAAAACTGGGTGCGCGCCGAGACCCATTGACTGCAACCTGCATGGATGTAATCCGATGTATACACTCCACCTATCGAGGCAAGGCGAACGGTGATCTTCCACTGTCCTCAGCAGCCTGAACGCAGTATTATTAGCCCCTGTCCCCCCTCCCCTCAAACAGAAAGTATTGACCCGAAATCAGAGATCCTGGATTCCCTTATACGGGCGCTTGCGATACGCCCATTGGTCTGAATCATGGATTCATAAAAGACCTTGTCTCGTTCCCAGCCGGTTTATCCGCGGTGGTTGGGTGTGGGATAAAACTGGCTGGGTATGAGACAAGAAAGACCCTTCAGCCTCGAGGCTCCAGCTTCTAGCGCTGGAGAACCCCGACGAGAATGTGGTCTCCTAGGCTGCCTAGTACGGAGTAGATAGGAATCGCCGTGCATTCAAAAAAGCCCATGATCTTAGATTCAGATGTCCTTCGACCTCGCAGTGGGAAGAACCGCTTTCTGCTCAAATCATTCAGTATACAATTTGGGGTCGATTGCATAGAACCACAGTATAAGTCGCAATGGATGAGCCCCAGTAGACGTCTCCCTACCTGCCCGCCAAGCACCGCCACCCCTCCTCCCCACAGCCATGCAAGCTGCTTCCAATGCCTCCAACAGCTTCCAGAAGGGAGAGATCCACGGCACCCGCATTAATCTCAATACCCCCTTTGAGATGGTGCTTAATTTCCACGCCTCTCTCACAACTCTGGGACCAACGACAACATCGGGACGTCCTGGCAAGATGCGACCCTGTGTGGTGATGAAAGTTGGTGAGATGGGGGCTCCCCCAACAATCTGCTTGATGGCGACCTTCGGAGGTGATACAGTAGACAACATGCCCGAGGTGTGGCGGCACTTTTGTGTCGCCGTTGATCCCCCAATCGGCCACGAAGGGCATCGCGTGGGTGTATCTCCCACGTTCCCTCCCCAGGAAGGGCACTCCTACATCGTCGCTTTGCCCATCCCGTCACATCGGCCTCTCCGATACCTGTTCAACTCGTGGACGGATAACTCTGGTCAGAAACATCCACGCCATCTCAACGACCTGCAACAGTTCGCAAAAACTTGCGAAGACATATTATCTGCATGGCAGCTGCTCGAGGAGAACGACCCGGATTTCCGGGAGAGAATGCTCAAAGATTATCAGGTACGGAATCACGTCATCGCAAGTCTTACTTGTACGCAACTAAGTCTTATACAGGTCAGTCGTGCAGCCAATGAACGTAAAAAGCGAAGCTTAAAAACACATGATGGAGAGAAATAATGTATCGGTGCGTTATGATCTGTCCGCACACAGGGACAATACCTGATGCGTTCCTTCAGAATGGGCGTGATCCATAGCACCTACCGCCATCTCCAGCGAGACCCGAGCCTGTATTGGTAGAGGAGTCTGCGTGATCGCAGTATAGTACTCGTTGTCATAAGTCTCGTCCGAACAGCTGAAATAAATGTTCAACGGCAAGTAGCGCTCAGTGCGCGTCCACGGGTATGCCGACGGGGCTCCGTGCGTGAGGATGGTCGGAAGGAACGGCTCGACGTCGTAACTGATGATCTGGTCCGAGTTGAGTTGCAACTGTTCGGCCCAATACTGTCAGAGGCATCTTATCAGGAAGCATCAACGTCAGACTGACGATGAACAGACCTGGGCTTCCGTGAGCACGTCGTTCAGAATGCCCTGAGTGATTTCCGTCAGAGGCACTGTATTTTTATATCCGCTGCAAGGCACATGTGAGTCCATTGCAACGATAACCTATGACATGATGCATTACCGGAAGTTGGCCGTTTCCTGCGTCGGCTCGACCTGTACCAATGATAGGAAAGAACGTGTCTTGACGTTGGTCGCCAATGCCGGTATTGACAGGAAGTCGTCAAAAATCCCCGACGGAGCGTCGTAGAAGATTATGACAGACGCAAGAGTCTGATATAATCGCAGATCTCGTTGACTCCATGAGACGAACAGTAGATAGTATATCCACGCACCAGCCCACCGGTATAGTCGTAGGTGGTGATGATAGCCGCCTTCGGGTCGGTGACATTCGACGAAAAGGTTGCCGTGGCAGCGCTAACATTATTGACGCTCGATGATGGATATGTGATCTGACCGCCCTGCAGATGTGACACTTTTGACATGTTGTATAGTTTGTACGACAGGCCGACATACCCAGACCTGACCTTGAGGATATGTCTGGAAGGTGAATGTCGTGACTATGCCCTGTGCAAGAACACATCGGATCGTATCCCCGGGTCATGGCGTATGCAGAACTCACGAAGTTGTTGTAGCCACCCTGAATGCAAAGTCAGTGACCATCGCTTCGTGGCGTCGAGGGACATGACACACCTTCAGTCCAAAGAAGAGATCGGGATTCGAAGACTCGGTCACATTCGTCACCGTTCCGT